AAATGGAGTCTCTTGTGCCAAGACCAGGCATAAACAAACAGAACATACCTGTGCTTGAGGACTACTTATGACTTGTTTCCTTAATTTCTGATTCTAGTCGATGATGCTTCTGTGGTGGCACTTGAGGCTGAGAGTATGGTCCTCCATGTGGGGAGCAGTTTAATGGAGACCCTGACTTTTCCCAGTCAACCTGCCTAATTCCCGTCTATCAGCCCATTGTTATGTTGATTCTGGCTCCTAGTAATCCCATAGGACAGAGTAGAACTGCCCCCTAGGTCTTACAATGTTGCCTTAAGGAAGCAGTCAGCCAAGTCTTTCTACCCACAGATCAGGGTGGGGTGGGGTTTGGAACTGTTAACCTTTCTATTAGCCGCTGAGCTCTCAACCACGGTGCCACTGGAGCCCCTTGATTCTCACCCACTTGTTCACCCTAAAATGAAGTTCCATATTAAGGTGCTACAACTTCTATGCAACCCATCACTCAGAGGAGAAGTTAGAATTGACAGATGGAACCAGCACGCGATCTATATAGCTGACTCCTTCATTCATAAATATGCATAGGCAGCCAAGGGGGACACAAGAGAGGTGTCACAGGTTGAGTTGTGTTACATCTACTGAGTTCCATATCATAACACATTCAAATGTTTATAAAGGGTTTGCACTAAAAGAAAAAAAAATTAAGTGAAAAAGCAGCCTATCCCTTTAAAGAGAAGGTTGTGACTATTTGGTGTGACTAGGGAAGCCACAATCATCTTTACAACATATCCACATCTGATCAATGTGGCCTGCTTTTCCCTTTTATTCAAAAACGTGTGCCAAGGTTTATAATATGGTTTACTCTTGCAAATATTATGTCATTTATATGTCACCATGCACACACACATACACAACACGGTTTTCTGCTATAGAATGATTCTTTCTGAACAGTACTGATTCTTATATCTGTGAAACACATTTGGGATGATAGTGAAAAGTAAATAACTTTTACAAAATAAGTGAGGAGAAAGTTTTTATAATTATAATCATTATTATTATAGTGGTCTTAAAATCAAACCACCGATGGTTAGAAATTAATAACCCCCCCAAAAATAAGAAATTAATAACCCCCCCCCAAAATAAGAAATTAACAAACCCACCTGGTACATCCAGTGCCTGTCTTTGAATCTCTTGATTACTTTTTCTTCATACTTCCATATATATTTCAAATTTTCTATAGTGGAAAAAAATCAGCTTAACTATCATAATGGCCTTTTGAAAGCTCCTGGGCATCTAAAAGTGAGGTGGAAGATGAGAACATAGAATTCTGTTTAAAATAAAAACACTAATAGCCTATTCTTCCTGTTCAATATGGATAAGGAATCCTAAAACTAGCTTGTGAACGGGACTAGTAATATTATATGTTATGGGGAAAACACTTAACAAAATGACCGCACTGATCATATATTCCTGCTGAGCCTAACAGGGAGTTAGCGTTGTTAGCTTCTTCCATTCCAGTAGCTATAACTTTCATGTGAAAAGTGCATTAGGCTAGAAATTACTCATAAACTTATGAGAGTGATGATCCTGAACCTGTATGCCCCAGGGTAGACTCCCAGTAAGTGACTAAAGAACTAGCATGTGAAGGTTGGTATTTTGGAAAGACGGACTAGGCACTAAGCATATTTTCTGCTTTCTTTTTTCAGCCAACAAATTCTTTTTTGTTTTCAGAATTAAAGAAAACTTGTCTGTAATGAGAAGTCTTATGTTAACCCTGAGCCCATTCACACACCACAAATAAAGTTTTCCAGTCTCTAAACAGGTAGACTTTAGAACAGGGAGTATTAAATTATGTACGTTTAAAAATAAATATATAAACACTGGCATAATCTAGTTCCTCCAAGCTGTAGTATCATCAAAATGTACTCAGAGATCAGGACTGTGTAAATGTAATACACAATGCATTTCTTGTTGAACACAATAGCATTGACTGTTTGCACGCAACTTAAGGAATGGAAATGGTCAGCAACCCGAAATAGGAAATCTGCCATAAACGAGCTCCCTGACAGAAGTGGTGGCTGCTGTTCCTCCTGCTGCCTGGGAAAGTGCACTCCTTTTCCTCCTTGAAAAGTTCGCTGAATCCAGCAGTTAAAGGAGGCAGGCCAGCCGTCAGTGAAGGGAATGTTCTACTACGGTGCTTGTGTGCCAAGACGTCAGCGCAAAAAATTTCTAGAGTACAGTCTGGTTATGTGGATTAAAAGTGTGGATAATTTATAGCTTTAACACTGTAATTTCACTGGTCTAAATGTAGAGGGGAAAAAGATAATAGACATGTTTTAATCACAAGGTAAGAATGCCATTATGCTGTTTTAAGTTTAGAGTCTCTAATGATATAATTATAGGTTATTGTCTTATGTGGCCATTTTAATTATTCAGTATTCCTTCTTGCACCTTGGATGATCTTTCTGGGGCAAAGTTCCTTCAGTGAAAGTATTCTGTTACTAATCATTTCTTTTTGCTTTTTAGTAGGGACAAGAGGGAATTAGTAACGCTTTGATTTTTGCCCTAATTCTTGAAAGATAATTATACTAGTTTAGAATTCTAGGTCAAGTTGTTTCCTCTCAGAAATAAAAGGTAGCATCCCAGTGATTTCTGACTCTATTTCTTGTTGTAGGAAGTCAGCTCTCAATCCAATTGTTTCATTACTAATAATCTTTTTTTTTATCCTCTTCTTCATTGTAAGAGCTCTTCTTTCTCTTTTGTGCCTTGCAGTTTGTTCTCTGCTGCCTTTGTGCTTTCTGATTTTGATTATCGGTTATGAAAAAATTCAATGGGTTTCAAAAATTCATTGGAAAATTCCATTTTGTTCTTTTTTTAATAAATCATTTTATTGGGGGCTCTTACAGCTCATATAACAATCTATACTTCAATTGTATCAAGCACATTTGTATATATGTTGCCATCATCATTTCTAAAACATGTTCTTTCTACTTGAGCCCTTGATATCAGCTCTTTTTCCCCCCTCTCACCCTTGTGAACCCTTGATAATTTATAAATTACTTTTATTTTCATATTTTACACTGTCCACTGTCTCCCTTCACCCACATTTCTGTTTTTTGTCCCCCTGGAAGGATGCGGGGGGGTGGTGGTGTTAGGGTTCTCTAGAGAGATAAAACCAAATTGCTGATAATTTAATATATTTATTTATAAAGATAATTAGAT